GCTATTCTGACTGGGGTGAGATGACATCTCATAGTTGTTTTGATTTGCATCTCTCTTAGAGCTAGGGATTTTGAACATTTCTTCATGTGCTTTTTGGCCATCTGATTATCTTCTTTGGTAAAGTGTCTGTTCATATCCTGTGCCCATTTTTCAATTGGATTATTTACCTTTATCTAGTTGTGGTTGGAATGACTTTCTATATTAATTATGGATGAAATTCTTGATAGCCTCCCATAACTGATCTAGTCTTTGTTCATTGGTGTCCACAGCCACTAACCTGTTCTTGAGAAGGATTTAAAATTCAGGTGGGATAAACTCAAGGTCAAATTTTGGTTCTTGTGGATTTGATTTCATTTACTTTAGCTTCAGATTAAAAATTTTTTTTTATTTTTAACTTCAATGAAAATTTACAGAGACTTTAGATTTCCATTCATTCATTGTTGCACTTTTCTCCCCTCCCAACCTTCCCCCCCCGGTACACTACCCTCTTGGAAAAGTAAAATTCTTTCATTATTTTTACAATCCCTCTCCCAGGTCCACTCCACTATGCAGCCTTCACTCTGGACTCTTGTCTTGACAAAAATACCTAATCACATATCCCTTTAAAACTGTTTTCTCCCTCATCTGTTTCAATGCAGTATACATTATTAAATCCATCTTTCTCAGGCTTCCCCCAAACCCAATGTCAGTCCTGTTTTACAACAGTGGCACCATGAAGTATTTGTCCTTTTGTGACTGAGATACTTCACTCAGCATAATGTCCTCCAGAGTCACCCATTTTGAATAATATTGCATGAGTTCCTTGTTTTTCAATGCACAGCTTCTCTATCCATTTATTTGTTGATGGGCACCTGCGTTGTTTCCAACTCCTTGCTATTGTGAACAAAGCCATGATAAATAAGGGTGTGCATATATCTGCTTGGGTGTCAGTTATGATTTCTTTGGGGTATATTACCAGTAGTGGAATTGCTGGGTCAAATGCTATCCCTATTTGCAACTTTTTGAGAAAGTGACATACTGCCTTCCACAGTGGTTGCACCATTTTACACTCCCACCAACAGTGAATAAGGGTTCTGGTTTCTCCACACCTCGCCAGCATTTGTTGCTTGCTGTTCTGTTAAATTTTGCTATTCTGACTGGCTTGAGATGGTATATCATAGTTGTTTCGTTAGCTTCAGTTTTAACTTGCATAAGAGTAGTTGATGGTTTGTTCCACAATCAGCCCCCGGCCTAGTTTTCAGTTGATATTGAGCAGCTCCAATTTTTTTCCACAGATGTAAGCAATCATGTTCTTGAGCAGACCATCAGGTAAGGTCCATGTTTATACTCATCATTTCTGTTTCTTATAAAGGTATTTGCAATGAGTAAATTCATTGAAGGTTATAAAATTCTATCATTCTATCTCCAGCCTTATTTTTTGTCACCAAGACCATGCTTTTCAACTACTGATCCTTTTTGTTTCCAACTTTTGCATTACAGTCAACTAATATTGTTAATTCATCACACACAAGCAAAACCTTGTTGAAGATTATCTAGAAACGAGCAAACCAGCACATCAACAGATAACTCCCAGAAATACAGGCTAGGTTTAGAAGAGGCCGCGGCATTAGGGACACCATTGCCAATGTCAGATGGATCTTGGCTGAAAGCAGAGAGTACTAGAAGAATGTGTTTTGTTGACTACGAAAAGGCAATTGACTATGTAATCACAACAAATTGTGATCTCCTTGAGGAAAATGGGAATTGCAGAACACCTGATTGTGCTTATGTGAAACACATACTTGGACAAGGCAGCAGTCATCAGAACAGAGCAAGGAAATACTGCATGGTTCAAAATCAGGAAATGAGTGCGTCAGAGATGCATCTTGTCTCCATATCTTTTCAATCTATATGTGGAACAGATTATTTGGGAGGCTGATCTTTATGAAGATGAATGTGACATAACAATCGGAGGAAGTCTCATCAACAATTTGCATTATGCAGATAACGCAATCTTGCTTGCATAAACTGAAAAGGATCTGAAGCATCTTCTGGAGAGTCAAGGACTGCAAGCAGTCTTCAATATGAATTGAAGCTCAACATCAAGAAAACAAAGATTCTCACACTGGGCCAACTGGCAGAACAATTGACAGATGAAGGAAGATTAAGATTGTCGACAATTTCAGTTTGCTTGGCTCCACAATCAACACTCTTGGAACAAGCAGCCAGGAAATCCAATCACATTGGACTGGGGCAGTCTGTTTTCAGGCACCATTCCAGAATGCTGAAATACAAAGATGTCAGTTTAGAGACTAAGGTGCACCTGATCCAGGTCACGGTTTTCACAATTACTTGCTATGCATCAGAGAGCTGGACAGTGACTAAGGATGAGAGAAGAATAATTGATGCCTTTAAGTTGTGGTGCTGGAGAAGAGTATCAAACACACCATGGATTGCCAATAGAACAAACAGGTCTGTTTTGGAGACAATGAAACCAACTTGCTCTCTTGAGGCAAGGATTTTGAAGTGCTGCCTCATATAATTTGGGCACACTGCCATGAGGGACAAGTCCTTGAAGAAGGAGATCATATTTGGAAGGGTAGAGGGACAATGCAGGAGAGAAATGAGATGGATTGACACAGTGACTAGGGGAGGGGCAGATATGTCCGAGACAGCGAGATTGGCTCAGGATAGGACACAGTTGGAAATACTGTGCACAGGGTCGCTATTAGTCACAAGCCACTGGACAGCACCTAACAACAGTGCAGTGCCAAAGGTTTTGACTGTGGATCTGAGCAGGATGAAATTATTGACAACCTCAATCTTTCTTCATCTACATGATGCTGCCTAATTGTTCAGTGGTGAGGATTTTTATTTTCTTGATTTTTGAGACACAATCAATATTTTGAGATGCAGTCCTTGATCTGCAGCAAATAGCTAAAGTCTACCTAAGTTCTGGCGAGCAATGTTGTGTCATCTGCATAAAGCAGGTTGGGGTTAGGTTTTCCCCCCCGTGTATGTATATGCTTATTTTATTATGATTTAAAAAATTTTTTTATTTTAATAATTTTAATGAATTTTGGATTTCCATTCATTCATTGTTGCACTTTTCTCCCTGCCCAGCCCTCTCCCCTGCCCCCTCTCCCCAGTTCACTCCTATGATTTTTTTTCTCCTATGATTTTACTGAAAGTTTACTGAGATGTTGGGTTTTCATTCATTCATTGATGCTTATTTTCTTCCCTCCTTTTCTCTTTCCCCTCCAGCAGTTAACTTTGTTATGTACTTCTTGTCCCAAATTGTTAATTGTCACATATAATGCTTAATCATACATTCCTACATACTTCTGTCCCAGTGCGGTGTTCATTACCTATCCACTCTTATCCTGTATAAAGCTGGTTTCTGACAAGTCTTTCCTCAATCCTGGTGCCGTATTTTCCTTTTTCATAAAGTCTAGTTTATTAAATGATATGTTCAGTATATACACTGAAAAGGTATGGAGAAAGGATACATCCCTGATTCACTCCTTTCTTGATTTTGAACTATGCAATGTTCCCTTGCTCTGTTCATAGACAGTCTAGGCATAGGTTTCACATGAGCATTAGGTGTTCTGGGCTTCCCATTCTTCTGGTTAACCATAATTTGTTGTGACCCACACAGTCAAATGTCTTAGCATAGTTGATAAAATACAAATAGACATCCTTCTGGTACTGTTTTTAGCAAAGATCCATGTGACATTGGTTATGATATCCCTAGTGCCATGTCCTCCTCTAAACCCAGCTTGTTTTTTTGGCAGTTCTCTGTCAATGTACTGTTTTAGTGATATGTTTTAACCAATTATATTTTTGAGATTGCCTCTAATACTTGACTTTGAAAATATTCTTATGACTTGAATTACCAAATTTTAACCTCATAATACTAAAAACTCTAGTTAGAAAAATGCATATGAATATTTGTTTCAGAATTGCCAGATATTACCTGTTATAAGAAAAAGGGAAAGCTTTCTTTCCATGGAGAAACTAGAAGATGCTGTATTTTTAGAGAATGCAAGGATTTTGTAATTTACCTTGCTTCCACTTTAGTTTGGCCTCTAGAAAGCTAAGACACATCAAATTTATTACACAATTTTGTTATTTGCTGTCAAGTAGATTCTCACACATGGTAATCCCACATAGTATTCTGCACATATCAAATTTCAGAAGCCTGTCCTCCAAGAAGCTACCTACCGGCTTTAACTCCCCACTTTTTGGCTATACTTGAATGTTTAACCGTTTGTGTCACTCAGGGACAATTTCAGCTCCATGTTAACAAAATAGCCTGGATATTATGACTCAGTAACTTTCCCAAACTACTCATGTTTTGCTAATACTAATATTCTTTTTTTTAAAAAAATATTTTATAGATTCTTTTATTTCAAATTATTCATGAACTGAAGCAGTAAATTTCTGTAAGAAGAAAATTAACAGTGTATTTTATTGAAAACTCACATAATTTTCAAGAATAAGATATACTTAAGCAAGCTTTGAATACTAGAGTTTTGAAGTATACTCAGTAATTTTATTAGGTTTTAAATTTTAACCTTTATATATATTGATGTTGTTTTTGCTGTGTGTCATTTAGTTGGAACTGACCCACAGATGACCCTCCAGAGTGTTTTTAGAGGCAGTTAATCACATAGGAGGAGATTGCCCATCCTTCAACTAGGCCACCAGAATAAATATATATATATTAGTATACAAATATTTGTCATTTTATTTAATGTATATGTAATCATGAAACTCACAGTTTTCTCTGGTTCTGGCTGACTTCTCTTCTGATTTTCTTTAGAAGATTTTACTGGTTGATTTCCCCTGGCCTCCATAAAGATAAAATAATTGCTAATTGGTTATATGTCAAAGAACAGCCAATGCTTGATTTTTCAAACGTATGCAACAGACACCATTATTAAATTAAGTCTGTAGGATGATCCGTGGTTAACTATCATATTATTACCCACTAAAAGGGAATACTTATTCATGACACTTAAAAATGCTTTCTCTGGTATCATATGGGAACATACTTGGTAGTATGCATGCATTGGAAAAATCTACAGTCAAGGACCTCCCCAAAGTCGTAAGGAGCAACCATGCTAGTTTAAAAACTTAAGTGTGCCTGATTCAAGCCACAGTCTTTTAATTACTTGTGATGCTCCTGAAAGTTGGACAATGAATAACGATGACAGAAGAAGAACTGATACCTTTGAGTTGTGGTGTTTGAGATTAATACTGAATATCCCATGGACTGCCAAAAGAACAAACAAATGTTTTGGAGAAAGTGCAACCATAGTGTTCCTTGGAGGCAAAGATGGTGAAGCTTTGTCCAATACACTTTGGACAGGTTGTTAGGAGGGGCCAATCTTTGGAAAAAGACATTCTGTTTTGAAAAGTCAGCATTAAGAGAGGAACACCGTCAGGGAGGTGGACTGTAACAATGATCCTCAAGTACGTCAGAGATGATCAGGATGGCACAGGACAGGGCAAGATTCAGGTCTGTTGTTCATAGGGTGCATGAATTGTAGCTGACTCAATGGTACCTACCAACATGTTTGTATACAGGTATGAATATGGATATTTCTCCATACATATTTGTAAATGCTGCATGTTATTATTGTTAAATTTTGTTGAGTTGGATGTGACTCATAGCTGAGACCCTCCAGTAGGTTTTGAGAGATTATAAATCACATGAGACAAGATTATGCATCTTTTTTCTACTGAGCAGCAGTGGATTGGAAATGCCTGCTTTTTGGTTGGCAGTACAATACTTTACCCACAAGGCCACCAGAGCTCCTTGGTACACATATGTTGTTGTTATATGCAGTTGAGTTGCCTGTAACTCTTAGCAACCCTATGCACAATTCTGAACCCTTCCCCATCCTGAGCCAGTTTCACTGTCTCCAATATACCTAACCCCATTATTCCAATTACTGTGTCAATTCATCTTATTCAGGTTCTTCCCTTTGTGCACTGTCCCTCCACCTTTCCATCAAGAAAGCTTGATGTCTTTCTCCAAGGACTGGTCCATCCTGGCAACATGCTAGAAGTATGTGAGATGGAGCTTCAAAATCCTCACCTCTAAATAGCAACCTGATTTTACCCCTTCCAAGACAAAGCTGTTTGTTCTTTTGACAGTCTATGGAATGTTCAACATTATTCTCTAGCATCACAACTCAAAGGCACTGATTGTTCTTCTGGCATCCTTAAGTCATGAATGGTCCAGCCCTCTGACGCACAGCAAGTAATTGCAAGGTCCATGGCCTGGATCAGGCACATCTTAGTCTCCAGCCTGACCTCACTGTCCTTCAGCTTTTTGAAGAAGTCCATGACAGCAGATTTTCCCAATGCAATTTGTCTTTTGATTTCCCGATTTCAAGTGTGTTGACGGTGGACCCAAGCAAGCTGAAATTGTTAACAATCTCCACCTAGTCTCTACCTATCATAGTGTGGCTAATTGGTCCAGTGTTAAAAATCTTTGTCTTCCTGATGCTGCACTTCAATCCATATTGAAGACTGCATACTCATATATTAATGGAGCACATAATAAGCAGCAAAACAGTAGCTTACTTAACAGGGTCTTCTATTAATAGAATTTTTCCTATTCTTTTGTAACCACCCACTAAATGAATGATTTGTTGTGATTATGGGTCATTAAGTCAGAATTCATTCATAGCTGACCCTCCAGTGGGTTGTCAGAGGCTAGAAACTACATGCAGATTACCCATGTTTCTCCCATGGAGCAGCTGGTGGATTTGAACTGCCTGTCTTTGGGTTGGCAGTACAATTCTTCACCATGAGGCTATCAGAACTTCCTCTGAGTTCATATGGTTATGCAAATGTAAGAGTTTGTGGCACACCAAGGAGACTGAACGTTATGTACCAATCAGCTAACCGTAACTCATCGCAACCCTACGAACAATAGGTGAGAACTTAGCCCTTTACTGACCCATCCTTACAATCTCTGCCTTGCTTGAGCCCACTGTTACAGTCACTGTATCAATAAATCTTATGGAGGATCTTTTTCCTCTTTCTCTGATCCTCCACCTTTACCAGCACACTGTCTTCTTCCAAGGACTGACCCTTTCTGACAACATGCCCAATGTATATGAGATCAAGTTTAATCATTTTTGTATCCTTTGATATACCTTAGAGCACCTGAAGAAGGTTGCACTTATTCCAAGACACCCTTGTCTGTTCTTTTTACATTCCATTGAAAACTCTACTTTTTTAGCAACAACACAATTCAAAGGCATCAATAATTTTCCTGTCTTCCTTATCCACTGTCTAACTTTCAGATGCAATAGGATGCAACTGAAAATACCTTAGTCTTTAAACTGTGTCTTTTATCTTTAGGTCCTAACAGTAGATTTTCCCAATGGAATGATCTGCTGATTTCCTGATTGTTACTATTATGGGTGTCAGTAGTGGATCCAAGTAAAATGAAATCATTGACTACTTCAATCTTTTCTTTATCTATCATGATGTTACCTATTGATGGCATTTTTTTTTGTTTTCTTGATGTTGAGATATAAATCTAAACTGAAGGATGTAGTCTTCAATTTCCACCAAGTTGTGTCATCTGTGTAATGCGGCTTGTTGATGAATCTTCCTCCAATTCTGATGTCACATTTGTCTTCAAGCTTCTAGAATTACTTGCACAGTATACAGACTGAATTGTTATGGAGAAAGAACATAAGCTTGATGCACAACTATCCTGATTTTAAATCATTCAGTATTCCCTTGTTGTTTGGACATCTGCTTCTTAGTCTAGGTATAGGTTTGTCTGAGTAACAGAGTATTCCGAGATTCCCATTCTTCTCAATGCTAGCCATAATTTGTTATAATGTACACAGTAAAATGTCATTGCAGAGTAAAAAAAACACAAGTTAAAATCTTTCTAGTATTCTCTTTCATTCAAGATCCACCTGAAATCAGCAATGACAGCTTTTTTTTTTTTTTTTTTTTAGCAATGATAGCTTTTATGCTATGTTGTTATGTGCTGTTGAGTCACCTATGACTCACAGGGACCCTATGTACAACAGGCCTAGACCCTGCTCTATCTTGTGCCAATCTGTCTCTGACACACCTACCCTCATTACCCAGTCACTGCATCAATCCATATCATAGAGGATCTTCCTCTCCTGCGCTTTACCTCCACTTTTCAAGCCTGATGTCCCTCTCCAAGCACTGGTGTGCCTCCTTGCAACAGTCCAAAGTATGTCAGATGAAGCTTCAGAATCCTTGCCTCCAAGGAGCATCCCAGCTTTACCCTCTCCAGGACAAACCTGTTCGTTTTCTTAGCAGTCCATGGTATATTCAATATTCTTCTCTAACACCACAGCTCAAAGGCATCAATTCTCCTTCGATCATCCCTAGTCATTGCCCAGCTCTCTGATGCATAACAAGTGATAGCAAAGACCATGGCCTGTATCAGGTGCACCTTAATCTCCAGACTGACATAGTTGTTCTTCAGTACTCTGGAGAATTCTCTAACAGCAGACTTTCTCATCGCTACATGTCTTTTAATTTACTGGCTGCTGGTGCCAAGAGAGTTGACTGTGGAACCAAGCAAACTAAAGCTGTTAACAATCTATTTTATTTCATTTTATTATTATTTTTGTGTGTGTTTGTGTGTGTATACCGTCAAATCAGATCTGACTGGTACAGGAGGAGATTGTCCTCCTTCTCCAGCAGAGCATCTGGTGGATTTGAATGACGTACCTCTGGGATTGCAGTGCAGTTTCCTGCCACTAGGCCACCAGAGCTCCCTAACAATCTCAATCTCTTCACCATCTATCAAGATGCCTACAGTCAGCCCAGTGGTGAGAATCTTTGTTTTCTTGATACTGAGCCTCAATCCATATTGAAGGCTGGAGTCCTTGACCTTCTGCAGCAAGCGCTTCAGGTCCTCCTCAATTTCAGCAAGCAGGATTGTGTTATCTGCATAATGCAGATTGTTGATGAATCTTCCTCTAATCCTGATGCCACTTTATGCTATACTTTCTTCTAAATCCAGATTCAATTTCTGGCAATTCCCTGTCAATACACAGTTACAGTCATTTAAAAATCTTCAGCAAGGTTTTACTTGCATGTGATATATTTATTAATGATATTATTCTATATTTTCCATACTCAGCTGCATTGCTTTTTCTGGACTGTGAACAAATATGGACATCTTCCAGTTAGCTAGCCAGATAGCTGTCTTCCAAATTTCTTGTCACAGGCTTGAGGGTATGTCTAGGGGTGCATTTATTTACTGAAACATCACAATTGGTAGTCCACCAATTCTCGGGCCCTTATTTTTGCCAATGCCTTCAGTGTAGCTTGGACTTCTTTCAGTTACTGGTTCTTGATCATATGCTACTTGATAAAATGGTTCCGTTTCAGTCATGTCTTTATGATACAATGACTCTGAAATCTTCTATGAAAAATAGTCAATATTTAGTTTATATAGAATGCTTCAGTATTACAACTCAAGTTTTGAAATTGTTTTCCAGCTCATTTAGCTTGAGAAATTCCAAGTGCGTTTCTTCTCTTTTGATTTTATCCTCTAGCTCTTTGCACGCTTTGTTATATTTTGCTTTGTGTTCCTGAGCTGCCCTTTGAAATGTCAGGTTTTCCCCCCCTCAGTTTTGACCTATATTTCAATGCAAATTTCAGTCTCTTCTGATATCCATTTTGACCTTTTCTTTATTCCTTGTCATATAAATAACATTTTGCTTTCTTCATGGATGATAATCCTTATAAAACTACAGTTCATCTGGTCCTTGATGATTACTGTTCAATAGATTAATTCTATTCTTGAGATGTTTTACAACTCTGACAAAATAAATTCCAAAGTCATATTTTGGTTCTCATGAACTTGTTTTCATTTTCTTCAGATTCAGTTTGAACTTGCACATGAGTACTTGATGGTCTCTTCCACCATCAGTCCTGACCTTTTTTGACTGTTGATATTGAGTTTCTTCATTAATTCTTTCCATGTTATGGTTGTTATGTGCCATTGAGTCGAATACAACTCATAATGATCTTGTGAACAATGGCTCCGAACCCTGCCCCATCTTGAGCCAATCTCACTGTCTCTGACACACATGACCCCATTGCCACAGTCACAGTGTCAATCCATCTCATCCAGGGTCTTTCTTTCCTGTCCCTCAACCCTTCCAAGGATAATGTCCTTCTCCAAGGGCTGACCCCTCTTGGCACCATTCCAAAAGTATGTGAGGTGGAGCTTCACATTATTTGCCTCCAAGGAACAACTTGATTTTGCCCCCTTCAGGAGGGACCTGCTTGTTCTCTTGGCAGTCTGTGGTATGTTCAAAACTCTTTTCCAGCACCACAACTCAAAGGCACTGATTTTTTTTTGTTCATCCTTATTCACTGCCCAGCTCTCAGATACATAGCAAGTACTTCAGAAGACCATGGCTTGGATGTGGGGGACCTTAGTCTCTAACCTGATAATGTTTTTTTTATTAGGACTTTGGACATGTCCTTGACAGCAGACTTTCCCAAAGCAACTTGTCCTTTGATTTCCTAACTGCTGGAACCAAAAATGTTAATTGTGGACCTGAGCAAGATGAAATTGTTAACAACCTCAATCTCTTCTCCATCTATGATTGTACTGACAATTAGTCTATGTGTATAGCTTCAATTTCTCCCTTTTCATGGTTATGGGGTTTATTAGGGAAGTTACTAGGCTATAAGATTGGCAGCAAGATGTAATCCCTCACTCCTCTAGCTTTTCAAGAGCACAATTCCTCAGTCCAGATATCTCCTGAGTTTTCACAGGCCTTTTTACCTTCAGCCCCACTGTTTTAGTTCAGTGTTACAGGGTTCCCTTAGATCTGTCAGTTACGGCATCTTCCCTGTATCCACCAGTAAACTTGTGTGAAGGCTCCTGGCTCCAGCTTCATGGGGCAGCAGTCCCAAGTCAGTTCTATTTTATATCGGTCTCTGGTTCTCAGACAAAGCTACTGCTGCTCTCCTACAGGCCCCAGTCTGATTGAAGCAAAAATCTCTGGTCCCAAAAGACATGTGCTGCACTCTGCTGTTTATTCCTTGCTGACAGCGCGATTCCCACCACCATTTGTGGTTTGTTTTTTTTTAAAGGATATTTACAACAAATAAATCATTCACTGCACAGAATTCTATCATTCTATCTCCAGCCTCATTTCTGTCCTCAAGACCACATTTTCCAACTGTAATTCCTTGTTTTTATCTTTTGCATTCTAGCCACCAATTATTATTGATGCAGCTTGACTGTATGTGCAATCAATTTCAGATTGCAAAAGTTAGTAGAAATCCTCAACCTCATCTTTGGATTTAGTATTTGATGCATATATTTGAATAATGATGAATAGGTCTTCTTTGTACGTTTATAAATAGTATCCTATCACTCCTAGCAGTATTGTTATTATGTGCTATCAAGTCACAACCAATTCATAGCTGGCCTTCCAATGGGTATTCAGAGGCATTAAATGAACCAGGAGGAGGTTGCTGATCTTTCTCCCATGGAGCAGCTAATGGATTCCTATTGCATGCCTTAAATTTGGCAGTGCAATTCTGTACCCCCAGGTCACCAGAGCTCCCTAGGTACTTCAGGATAGATTATAAAATGTTCTTCTTGGGTATGAATGCAAAATCATTTCTATTCAAGTTGTCATTCCTAGGGACTACATAACTTGCTAATAATAAGGTGCATGGCATTCATTAGCATGGAATCATGCAAATAAGGTATACAGATGTTAATATGGGGATTGGTCAGTTTGACATTCCTTCAAGATTTAAAGAACTCATTGTAGAAGTATAAAATGGGGATATTGCTGCAATCAAGAAAAAAGAGCCAGACAATGCAATGCATCTTTTAGACATGAGATCCCTAAAAGAACCAAAGATGCAGAGTTGTAGGAGTGGAGAGATGGTGGAAGACCATAAGATTACAAAGCAGAGGTAAGGCAATATGGTAGCAGTGGTAGTAGCAACAGAAGTAATAGAAAGCAGGAATCAATGTGAGACAGAGCTGTGGGCTCTAGTCCATGGAGTAAGAAAGTTGCTTGCTGGTGGAGTGGGTGCCTTCAGTCATTTATCAGGTAGGTAGGCCTGCTAATCCAGACAATCAAGTGACTTTGGGCCTAAGATTCCTTCCAGAGTGAGGGTGCCTCTTTAAGCTGGTGGAGCTAAAAGAGGTTTGTAATGCTTGCCTACATAAGGCATAAACAGGCTGTAAGGCTGAGGGCTGGACACAGAGAAGCATGACTTTCAGCATAGCTGAGATGACTTGTCTTTACCGCAGAACTCTAACCTGAGTGTTCCTGAAACAGAATTATAACTTCTTACTTCCCTAATAAACTCTATGACTGTGAGTTCTGTGTGACCACTGCAACTAATTATCAAACCCAGAAGAGAAGTAGTTAGTATTGTGGGAGAGACGGTTGGGATTAAGAATTGGTAGAAGACAGGATTGGGGCATGATGTATGAGGACATGTACGATCTCACAGGTATTAGCTTTGGCTGTTTTTGCTGTTAACAGATATTTTTCCCACTTATGAACTAAGTGGAAACTAGGCACTGCCATTTTGACATCTATACCATTTTTACAACAGAGTTGTTTTTGTTAGGTTCAATTGAGCTCACTATGACTCATATTGACCCTATGAATAACAGATTGAAACCGTGCCCTGTATGTATCATGCTATCCTCACAATTTCCACAATGCTCAAGCCCATAGTTTCAATAACTCTGTCAATCTATCTCTTTGAAGATCCTACTTTGTTTTGTTGATCCTATACTTTCTCCTAGAATTATAGTATTTTTCCAAGGATTGGTGCCTCTTGACAACATGCCCAAAATATGCAACTGGAAATTTCACTATCCTTGCCTCTAAGGAGGAGCTTAGTTTCATTCCTTCAAGACAGATTTGTTAAGTTGGAAACTGAAACACCATTTGACCCAGCAATTCCACTACTGGGAATATATCCTAAAGAAATTACAGCCACGACTTAAACAGACATATGCTCATCCATGTTTACTGCTGTGTTATTCACAACAGCAAAGAGACGGAAGCAACCCAAGTGCCCATCAACAATGGAATAGAAAAACTATGGTACAATCACTTATTGGAATATTACATAGGACTGAAAAATAGTGAGCTTGTAAAATATTATACAACATAGAGAAGACTGGAGGACATCCTACTGAGTGAAATATCTCAGTCACAAAAAGACAAATACTGCACAAGACTGTTATAAAATAGAACAGACATGGGAAGTTGGGGAAAGAATGAAAAAGAGTGGATAGATAATAAACATTGCATTGTATCAGATTAGGGGAAGAACTATACAAAAGGAATATATGATTTGACATTATATGTATGAAAAAAATCTGGAACAAGGGGTGCATTTCAGGGAGGGCTTGGGAAGGGGGAAGAATTATGTACAATTATGAAAAAGTAAAACATTGTTTAAGTTAAAAAAGATAAGATTTCTTTGTTTAAGAGGGCCCATTCCATGGGGGAAAAGGCATCATCTTGGTAGAAAGTCAACCAAAAAAACACCTCAATTACCTAGTTTAACACAGCAAATGCACTAATAGGTTTAATTAAACACAGCAAAGATTATAAAGATGGCACAAGACTGTACAGTGTTTCACTCTGTTGTACAAAGGGTTGGTATGAGTTGGATAGAGACAATCCAATAAAGTCCTAACAACAGCACAGTTAATTTACACTGTAGAACTTAGGGACTTTCTGCCATTCTAGGCAATTTCCTTTGGAGTCTGGAAGATAGTAACACTTTACAAATCCTTTCCTGCATTAACTTCTTCATTGCATCTTTGTGACATTAACTCTCTTTCTTTTGTGACTGAATATAACTTATTCACACTTCTGTCATAGTTCTAAATCACTACTTGTTTATTTTCAATTACTCAATGTCAGCTAAAACCTGGAGTCATGTATTATTAGCTTATATTTCTAGCACCTACTGGGCTGATAGGCAGTATCATGATAAATGGCGAAGAGATTGAGATTGTTAACAGCTTTTTTTTTTGCTCGGGTCCACAATCAACTCTCTTGGCACCAGAAGCCAGGAAATTAAAAGACGTATTGCGATGGGAAAGTCTGCTGTTAGAGACCTCTCCAGAGTACTGAAGAACAACGATGTCAGGCTACAAGGGAAGGACCAGTCCTTGGAGAGGGCTGTCATGCTTGAAAGGGTAGAGGTACAGCACAGGAGCGGAAGACCCTCTATGAGATGGACTGATTCAGTGACTGGGATAATGGGGTAGGTGTGTCAGAGACAGTGAGATTGGCACTGGATAGAGCAGGATTTAGGGCTGTTGTACATAGGGTCGCTCTGAATTGCAAATGACTCGATGGCACATAACAACAAAATCAGCCAGAATACCTGTGATGTATCAGGTGCTTAATAAATATTAATTCATTTAGTAAAGGACTTATCAAAAAGTAAAATAAGGTCACATATGGGGAAGAGATTATAAGATTATATATAGAGAATGAAACTAGAAAATACTTACCATTTTATTCTGAAATATTCTTCCACTTCTTGTTTTACTTTCAGATACATCAAGGTCAGATGTTTTACTGACTAACTGCTCAACCTGTAAAAGAAGGTAATTATACAAAAATTTCAAGGTACAACAATTAATCTCTATTACCTCATATATATAACAAATGGAGAAGAAAAGTCGGGAATAGGAGGAAGATAAAAAATGTGGGGCTAATGGACTCCATTAAACAACTGCCCATTCTGCCATTAGACCAGAAATGTATGGTGTTGATCTATTGTTACCGAAAATTTTGAACAAAAATTCCACAGAATACTTATCAAAAGAGAGACTATGTAGAATGGAAATAAAAATTATTACGAACTCTAGACTTTAGAGAGTTATAGAGGGTGGATTAACCCCTGAAATGATCACCTTGGAATAATCTTTAAACCTTAAATCAAAAATATCCCGAGACCATCTTAAAACCAAACAATGTAGTTCTTGTGACCCAAGCTGACCCTCAGCAGGTGATCAGAGGCAGTTAATCACACAGTAGGAGATAAGCCATCTTTCTACCTTGAGAAAACCTGACAGTAGTTTAGCTTAAATAGTTGGGTGGGGGCAGGGGAGAAATCTGCAAAGAGCATTTAAGGTTTCAATATTGTGCTGGTAACAAAAACATGACACAAACTACCTCTAGTGGTTTGAATCTACCAAACACTCTACAGAAGAATGACAGGAAACCCTAAAAAGGGTTGCTGAGATGTAACTGACTTGAAGGTAATTGAGTTTTGAATTTATATGGGACAAAACTGAAAACAGTAACTGGAAAGACAGGAAAGTTAAGGTAGAATTAGTTTTTGTTAATGAAGGAGGAACAAGTCAGAAAAAAGATGGTGAGAATGGTGGTACAACTCAAAGAATATAATCAATATCACAGAATTTTATATATAAAAACTGTTTAATTGGAGTACATTTTGCTGTATATAGTTTCAGCAGTCCTAGCATAAAGACAATTTAGAAAAACAAAATAAAAAGTACACAGCATAAAAAAGCATAAAAGTAAAGATAATAAAATTGACACTATACACAACTAACCATTCGGATTAAGTCCCAAATGATCACTAAGCACAACTACCTTTTGAGAAGAATTTTATCCTATTACCATTTGAGGAAGGGCTGACCAGAAGCCAGATAATAATTAACTCTATTATTCCAAATAATTAAAATGATTTTTCCCTATATTATTGAAGGAGTTCATTATATACAAAAAGCAAAATTAAGTCCTGTTTCAAGGCTGCATTATGTATTTCATTCGTAAGTACAACATGAGTGGAATGAATAATCTGTAAAATTCTACCTAGCTCTCAAATTACGAAATTCTGGAAATAAGTTTTTGAGTTTATTCTAAGCAAACCCTCCAGCAATATACTCAAAATTTCAACAGCCAATGGCTACATTCCTAAAAAATATCCTAAATGTTGTTTTCTTCTTAATGACCTAGATGAAAAATTCAGAGAATTAAGCAAGCCAACAAAGAACAGTTTAAAAAAACAAAGAAAAACCAAAAAGTAACAAAAACCCAAAACTAAAACAAACAAAAGTTACAAAAAACACCAAATCTAAGTAAAATGAAATGCTATAGAAAATAGAGAAAATTGCCATATGAATTAAGCAATTACAACCCTAAGTATACAGCCAAAAGAACTGAAAGCAAGGATTAAAATAGATACTTACTTGTACACCAAAATATACTGAACTATTATTATCTGCAATAGTGAAGAGCTCAAATATACATCAGTAGATGAACAGAAAATAAAGTATGGTATACACATTCAATAGAGTATTATGAAGTAATAAAAAAGTAAAATCTAATTAAATATTACAACATGGATGAACTTTGAGAACACTATGCTTTGAAATCAACACACAAATAATATATGATTCCCTTTATATGAAAGATCTAGAATAAGTTTGAGTTGGTTTATTTTGGGGGGCGGATTATGGGGTTTATTAGAGAAGTAACAGCTTACAATTCAGTATGTGAACAGGACAGCTCCTCCTCAGGCATGCTCACAGGCAGGCTTCCCTCTGACCTTCAGTCTTAACTCTGGGCTGCCTCACAGCTCTGAAGTGTCACAAAGCTTTTTTCGATTGGCTAGTCATGTGCCTCCCTCACGACGCCATCCAGGCCAAGGCTGTGGCTTTATAGGACAGTAGATCCAGTTAAGTCCTGTCTCACGTCGGTCTCTGGTTCTCCACCACATCTGCTGCTGCCTCAGTCTGAGGTCTCATTCTGTTTTGTATGGGAATCTCTGGCCCAAAGGACATGCTCCACCCTCTGCTTCTTTCCTGATGGCAGTGAGGTTCCCCTTTTCTACCTCAGAACCTGCTCAATTTAAGCCTGGTGAGATCACAAAACTAAGCAGTTCCCTCTTCTGGTCACTGGCATTCTGGGAGCTGCAGTGATGATGCAGACATGGCTAAGTCCAAGAACCTCATCACACACAACCTGTCCTGAAAAGAGCATCAGGAAACCCTGATCATAGTGACATGGGTCTCTTCAAGGGGTAGAACCCAAGTTCCTGAGGAATATGTGCTTTGCCAAGAAGCACAACAAGGACCTGAAGAAGATGCAGGCCAACAATGCCAAGGCCATGGATGAATACACTGAGGCTGTGAAAGCTCTTGTCAAGTCCAAGAAGGTCAAGCCCAGGATCCCAAGGGGTGTCAAACACAACAAGCTCAGCCTACTCACTTACATTGCTCGTCCCAGACTTGGGAAGCATGCTTGGGCCCGCACTGCTAGGGGCATTAGGCTTAACTGGCCGAAACCCAAAGCCAAGGCTGCAACTAAGCCTGAAGCTCCAGCAAAGTCCCCAACTCAGGCCTCAACCCAGGCTCCCGCTCCTGTCAGGTTCCTAAAGGTACCTAGACTCTGCAAAATCTCTCTCAAGAATAGGTTAATATATAAAAAGGTTCCTGGCAGTTGGGAAGGGAGTAATGAGGTATTACTGCTTAGTGAGTATATTGTTATTAGGTGCTGTTTAGTCCATTATGACTCATAACAACCCTATGAACAAGCAATTGAAACCTTGCCCTATCCTGCCCCATCCTCATGTTGAAGCCTATTGCTGCAGTCATTGTGTTGTGGATCTTCTCCTCTTTCTGACTCTCCACCTTTCTCTTCTCCTCTTTCTGACTCTCCACCTTTCCCAGCATGATGTCTTTTTCCAAGGACTGGTGGTCCCTCTTGACAACATGACCAAAGTATGTGAGGCAAATTTCATTCCTCTTGCCTCTAGAACCTTGCTTCTAGCAAGGGTTCAGGACTACTGCTCATAATGTCTTATGAGTTTCAGTCAACTCAATGGCACATAACAACAACTTGTCCTTTAAAAAGTCCATTAAAAACATTTAAATAGTTCTTTAAAATTTTATTAAAAAAACGTTTAGTATCTCCTTTAAGTTTCATTTCAATAACCTCTAAAAATTTTTTATTAAAAAAACTTTTAGTATCTCCTTTAAATTTCATTGCAATAACCTCTAATAGGAATTATTATTCTTCCTTTGCTAATAAAAATGATTAAGAAAAACTAGATCTCTTGTTCAATATCACATAAAAATAATAAAAGAAAGAACCAAGATTCAAGACCAGATCTTCAGGATCCAATTCCACTAAGGGTCTCTGAGCAAAAGTGAGTCTGGTTTTTGTCAAGTAAATTTAGAGCTCATTTCATAATACTGGAAATGAAGGACCCATATATTGTATCAGAGCCTTATACAAACACTCAAAGCAAGCACACTGGTCATATGAGCAAAAGTGAGCATCAACTAAAGGGCATAAATTCTAAAGAGCAAGGGACAGCAGCTAGTCTAAATCTTTCTACTCCCTTCTCCTCTGACCAAAACCATCTAAACACTCTGCACTGCCAAGTCTTTTAAATACAAAATGTATGGCAGTCCTGGAAATGAAAAGGTTAGCAGTCATAAGTCAACAAAGTACTAGAAGGTAGCAGAGAATTCCAATATCAAATACTGTCTACAGAGCAGAGCTCACAGAACTATCCTAAGAAAGTTAGACAGTCTATAAGGGCCTACCTAATGCCTAAACTTCATACTACTATCTTGCTCTGAGGTGTACATACGACTTAACCAACTATTCTTACCACCTCATTGAGAGTCTACTACTGTTTAAAATCTGTCTCACTCTCAAAGGATCTCTGATGATACATGGCTAAGGACTTGGCTGCTAACCAGAAAGGTGGCAATTAGAACTCTCCTCTGAGGGAGATAATAACTGTGGATCTATTCCTGTAAACATTATAGCCTAAGAGACTTTACAAGACAGCTCCATACTGTCCTACAGGGTCACTATGAATCAATCAACTTGATGACAAAACATTACACTTTCAGTCTATAATAGCCTATCATAAGTAATATCAGAAACTAAAATCCTGTCTCCCAGAATGCTTTCCTAACCCTCTTTACTGGTTAAGAAAATCAGCACAACAAAACAAATAAATATCAACATTTCCACTCCTCGCTCCATGCAGCTAGGTAAGGTTGTCAAATGAGAGTACCAAAATCATCCATCTGTCCCTCAACTACAGAGAAGAATGCAGTTGTTGTTGTAGTTGTTGTGTGCTATCAAGTTGCCTGCGACTCATAGCAATCCTATGTACAACAGCCTTAAACCCTCCTCTATCCTATGCCAATCTTATTGTCTCTGACACACCTACCCTCATTACCCCAGGCACGAAATCAATCCTTGTTTGAGGGTCTTCCTCTCTTCCACTGTCCCTCCAGCCTCCCAAGCATGATGCCCCTCTCCAAGGACTGTTCTCACTTTGCAACATGCCCACAGTATGTCAGATGAAGCTTCAGAATCCTTTACTCCAAGGAGCAGCCTGGTCTCACCCTCTCTAAGACGAACCTACTTATTCCCTTAACAGTCCATGGTATATTCAATACTCTTCTCCAGCACCACAACCCAAAGGCTTCAATTCTCCTTCTATCATTCCTAATCATAGTCTAGCTTTCTGATGCATAGCAAGTAATTGCAAGGACTATGGCCTGGATCAGGTGCACCTTATTCTCGAGACTGATATCATTACTCGACATAATGAATGTAATTAATGGCACTGAATCCTACACTCAAATATGGATATATGGTAAATTCTGTATTATATACATATTTCCCACAATACCAGTGAGTTGGAATTAATGCATAGCTGAACTTGAGAGCAGGTTTTCTAAAACTATAAATCACACCAGAGGAGCTTGCCTGTGGTGCTGTCTATAGAGACTGAGCTGCTAACCCAAAGGTAGCGTTTCTCTGGCAGTTCAAGTTCACCAGTGTCTCTGAGGGAGAAAGATAGGAAATCACTTCTTCTGCAATTTATGGCCTCTGAAAACACTGTAGGGTCAGCTTTGAGTTGGTCCCCCCTTGATGGCAGTAATTTTCCACAAAAAATTTTTTTTAAATAAAAATTTTATAAAGTGAAATGGAATTAAGGAATTTGTACCTGGGAAATGGAAAGACCTGGACTTTCTTTAGTCCTCATAATTTCATCTTCTTTACAAACCAGGTTTGGTTCTGGGGGGCAAAAATTAAGATATCATAAAGTTGAATTGAGAGAAAATAAAGTTACGTTTTCATTAGTTCCTTACCTCCAAGTTGAGAGGATTCAGGATTGTTTATTTGCTCTCCTGATTTAGTTTCAGTGTTACAATCATCCTATATATAATTAAGAAAAAAATGAACAGGTTTCAAAAAAAGAAATAGAAACGGATGTATTTGTAACTACTGTGATAATGTGAAGGTTAAATAGAACACCACAATTATTTTAAGCATGTTAGATGTAAAAGTGATCTAATAGTTATTATGAACAACAATCTCTTTATCCAAATTATAAAATACTGACTTTCTTTACTTTGTAGAGTTAATAAATGAAGAAAATACACTTTTTTTTCATAAATGTATTATTACTGACATTGGATTAGGCATACCCTCCCAAAGTTATCACTTCTACAGCTTCTGGAATTTCTGTTCAAATGCTAAAATAATTCTGAATATAACTTATTTCTCTTCAGGGTGTTAGTGAAGCTAAGCCATGGTATGACAGGAATAGCAACAAATGTCTAATTATTGTTCTTTTGTATTATATGTCAAAAAGCTTTTAATATTTCAAAGAATGCTATATAAATCCAAGTTCTATTTAATATAAAACAAGACTAGAATTTAAGTTTTGGGAAAAAGCTTTCCTCTTTGATTGAGTTGATTTACAATTAATTGAATCAATGAAGATCATATCAGTGCTAAAAAATTAAAGCAATTACAGCTTTCACTATGCTGGAAGTGAGGTGTCAACAACAAAAACAAACTCCTTTTATACATCATTCATTCTTTCAGGCAATATTGAGAATCCATTGATTGCAAAATCTGGTACTAGCACAGAGAGGGTTAAAAACTAAGGCATAATTTCTGCCTTCCAGGAACTTCTGGGCAAGTGACTAGAATTGTAGGGCCTAGAGGAATTTCCAGCATAGTAAGTATGCTGTAGAATGGATTTCAGCACTGAGGCAATGGATGGCTCGAAGATAATTCCCTGCTTCAATCAGAATAATTATGCTTTTAATATTGTTTTGGAATAAGTTAAAAAGTATGAAAACCTTGGACCTAAACATTTTCTAAGGTCCCTCCCAACTTTGAGATATTTTACATTACTTTAAAAATATTTATGTAATGTAATGTAGTTATACTGGTGTCCATGTCTTTCATTCATGGGGTTGCTATGAGTGGCCTCCGACTCAACGGCACTTAATAACAGCAACAACAATGATGACGACAGCACAGAGAGAGATCAGTTGGCCTAGTGGACAAACAGTTATGCTCGCAAGCCAAAGGTGGGTGACTCTAATCTGCAGCCCTCAGGCCTGCCTTTACGTGTTTTTTGGTGAAACATTCTTCTAGATCAGATAACCCTGGTATGTCCACTTGCCGTACAGAGGTAACTCGTGGTTGCTGTGAAACTGAACACCATGACTCTGATGTGTCAAATGCGAGAATGGTTACACATGGTGGACAGTGTTTGGTGGCGCTCCCCGTTTAAAACCAGCAGGAGTGGTATCCACTTCCGCAACAGCTTGCCTCTGGAAATCCTATGAACCTGGAGAAAGGATGAACGTTATACCGGTGTCCAGGTCTTTCGTTCATGGGGTCACCTCAGACTTGATGGCACTTTACAACAATAACAATATAATGTAATATGTAAAGTAATGCAATGCAATGTAAAGTAATATAAGAGGGGGGCTCTAGTAGCCTAGTGGTCAGAAGCTGCGCTGCAATCCGAAATGCACACAGTTCAAATCCACCAGCAGCTCTGTGGGAGAAGGATGGGCAATCCCCTCCCATGTGATTAACTGCTTCTGACAACCCACCAGAGGGTCAGCTATGGGTAGGTTTCAACTCAACAGTACACAACAACAACATAATGTAAAATAAACTGAGACAAGTATTTGTTATTATTAGACTATATAGCTCTTTAAAAATCTTACACTTATATAATGTTCCTGTTCATCTTCTGGGTCATCTTTGTCTGCCAGGATTTTCTCAAGTGGTGTTTTTAATGATAGTTTTGGTGACAGTATAGCTGAATCAATGTTTTCTATTCGTTCTTTCTCAGTAGTCACTTTTACTTTGAGAGTATGAAAAGGTGTTGGGACTTCACCCACATTTAAATACATAGGATCCCCTTCAAATATCACTCCTTCACAATCACCATCCTTAAAACCAGGAGGCTGATAATCTGATGGTGTAACTGCAAAAGAAACAAAGTGATTCTTATTAAATTAATAAGCTATTATCATTATAAAAATTAATACAGACTGAATAAATTCCAAACAATATAACCAAAGCCAAAACCATTGCTTGTTGAGCCAATTCTGACTCACAGCAACTCTACAGGGCAGGACAGAATTGCCTTATTGGGTTTCCAACAATGTGAATCTTGATGGAAGCTAACTGCTATATCCTTCTATTGTGGAGATGCTGGTGAATTTGAACTGCCTAAATGTCTTTTTTTTTTAAATTATTTTTGTGTGAGTGTACCGTCAAATCAGATCTGACTGGTACAGGAGGAATTCGTCCCTCCTTCCCCGGCAGAGCATCTGGTGGATTCGAACCGTGAGCCTCTGGGATTGTAGTTGCAGGTCCTTGCCACTAGGCCACCAGAGCTCCCCTTGAACTGCCTAGATTTCAATCTAAGTGCAGGCTAGCACTTAACCAATGTGCCAGGAGGAATCCTTAAAATAGTATGTTGCTGTTAGGTATTGTTGAATCTGTTCTGACTGACAGCCACCCATGCACGTGAACACCAAACACTGCTGGTGTGTCAGAGACAGTAAGGTTGGCTCAGGACAGAGGAGGGTTCAGAGCTGTTGTACACAGGGTCACTATGAGTTACAAGCAACTCCACAGTACATCATAACAACAAACAACAAAGGAAAAATAGTCAGTATACTCATTTCTCAAATATATACACCAACCACTGAGGTTAAAGATAAAGACACATTGATAACTGGTGACTGGAATGCAAGGATTAGAAACAAAGGAGGTTGGAAAATATGGACTTGGTGACAGAAAAGACAGTAGAAAAAGTATAATTGATTTTTGTACAATTATATACATGGCAAACACCTTTTTTAAAAAAAATCATAATGTCATCTATAAACTTATATCTCACCATGTGTATAGAATGTAGAGGAATCAAATTGATTACATCTGTTAAAAGAGATGGTAGGAGACGCTGACTTCTCAGCAGTCAAAACAAGGTCAAGAGCTGAGTTTGGAATAGACCATCAATTACTCATAGGTAAGTTCAAGTTGAAGCACAAGAAAACTAGAAGTCTGTGAGAACCAAAACACAACTTTGAGTTTACTTTATCTGAATTAAAAACAAAACAAAACACACATCAAGCATAGATTTGATACACTGAACATTAATGTCCAAAGAAAAGATGAATTTTGGGATGACAACAAGAATATCACCCTTGAAGAAAGCAAAACACAAAAAAGAAAAAAAAGACCAAAATTAAAATCAGAAGAGAATGGAATTTCTTCTTGAATCTATAATAATTGCTTGTTATATATCTGAGAGCTAGACAGTGAATAACGACGACAGAAGATGAATCAATGCCTTTGAATTGTGGTGCTAGAGAAAAGTACTAAACATCTTACGGACTGCCAAGAGAACAAACAGGCCTGTTCTGGAAAGGGTGAAACCAAGTTGCTCCTTGGAGTCAAGGATTTTTTTTAAATTTTTATTGTTGTTGCTGTTATGTGCTGTCGCTTGGGACTCATAGCCACCCTATGTACAACAGATCATAAACTCTGCTCTCTCCTGTGCCAATTTCACTGTCTCTAATACACACCCATCCCGATTACCCCTGTCACTGAATCAATCCACCTCATAGAGGGTCTTCCCCTCCTGCTCCTGTCCTCCAGCCTCCCAAGCATGACGCTCCTCTCCAAGGACTGGTCTCTCCTTGCAACATGTCCAAAGTATGTCAGACGAAGCCTCAGAATCCTTGCCTCCAAGGAGCAGCCTGGTTTAACCCTCTCCAGGATGAATCTGTTTGTTTTCTTGGCAGTTTGGTACCCTCAATACTCTTCTCTAGCATCACAGCTCAAAGGCATCAATTCTCCTTCTATCCTTCCTAGTCATTGTCTTTCTCCAGGGACTGGTCCCTCCTGGTAACATGCCCAAATTATGTGAGATGGCACTTCGAAATCCTTGCCTCTAGTGGCAAGAAGATGCACTGCAATCTCAGAGGCATGCGATTCAAATCCACCAGATGCTCTGCTGGAGAAGGAGGGGAAATCTCTTCTTGTACCAGTCAGATCTGATTTGACAGTACACACACAAAATAATAAAATTTTAAAAAAGTTTTTTAAAAAATAATAGAAATGAAGTAACAACTTAATTGACTGGTACAGGCAGTCCTAGTCCTATACAGTTGCTATCCATCATAATGAACCCAATAGCAATGGAAAAACAGAAAAAAACAATTTTGGGTGTTAAAAGAATGAGAGTATTTTAAATACTCAGAACAGAACCAGTACATAATTTTAGCTTTTATTATTATTGTTGCTCTGTGTTTTTCTGCATGATTATTATACAAGTAAAACAGATATTTCATATTTACATCCTTAAACATACAAGTAAGATGATATTGTCCTGTGATTAGGTACCACTGAGTCAGTTCTGTGTCACATCAATGCTATATACAACAGAACAAAACCCCATCCAATCCTGTGTCATCCTCACAAATTAGGTTGGGAGGAAGCCACTACTCTGGAACTAAACTAGAACTATCTATCTTGTGGATGAAGCCACTACTCTGGAACTAAACTAGAACTATCTATCTTGTTAAGAGTCGTCTTTTTTTCATTGACCTTCCACTTTTCCAAGCATGATGCCCTCTCCAAAGATTATTGTTGTCCCTGATTGTCGAGTCAAGCAGAGTTTACTTACAGTGACCCTATGAACAAAAGGCCTGAAGCCTTTCTATAACGACTGACATTTATCAAAGTTCATAGAGTTTCCAGAACCATGTTGTTTAGGAAGTAGATGCCATTCCTGCTTCCATGATAACATGCTCAAAGTCTGTGAGCCAAATTCCTACCATCCATGCATCTAAGGATTACTATGACTGCTCTTCTTCGAAAACAGATTTCTTTGTTGTTTTGGCAGTCCACGGTAAACATAATACCCTTCACCAACACTGGAAGCCAAAGGCATCAATTCTTCAGTCTTTCTTATTCATGCTCCAATTGTCACAAGCATATGAATCAGTTACAAATACCATGGCTTAGGTCAGGCACATCTTTGTTTTTGTTGTTATGTGCCATCGAGTCGTTTGTGACCCTACGTACAAGAGCCCTAAACACCGTTCTATCCTGTGCCAACCTTGCCGTCTCAAACACATTCATTCCCACCACTCCACTCACAGCATCAATCCATATCATCAAGGGTCTTCCTCTCCTGCGCCATCCCTCCACTCTCCCAAACATGATGTCCCTCACCAAGGACCCGTCCCTCCTTGCAACATGCCCAAAGTATGTCAGACAAAGCCTCAGAATCCTTGACTCCAGGAAACATTTTGGCTTCACCCTCTCCAGAACAAACCTGTTTGTTCTCCTAGCAGTCCATGGTATATTCTACACTCTTCTCCAGCACCACAACTCAAAGGAATCAATTCTCTTTCTATCATCCCTATTCACTGTCCAACTTTCTGACGCATAGCAAATAATTGCAAAGACTATTGCCTGGGTCAGGTACACCTTAGTCTCCAGCCTGACTTCAGTACTCCTGAGAGGTCCCTCACAGCTGACTTTCCCAATGCAATTCATCTCCTGATTTCCTGGCTGCTGTTACGAAGAGTGTTGACTGTGGAACCAAGTAAACAAAAACTGTTAACTATCTCAATCTCTTCACCATCCATACTGATACTGCTAATTGGCCCAGTGGTGAGAATCTTTGTTTTCTTGATATTGAGCTTCAATCCATATTGAAGACTGCAGTCCTGGACCTTCTGCAGCAAGTGCTTCAGGTCCTCCTCAGTTTCAGCAAGCAGGGTTGTGTCATCTGCATACATCTTAGACTTTAAGTTAATTCCTTGTTCTTTGGTACTTTAAAGAGGTCCTTGGCAGGTTTGCCTGGTATAATAAGTCTTCTATTAACTTTTGTTACCATGTGTGTTGATTGTAGATCCAAGCAAAATGAAATTCCCAACAACATCAATCTGTTCTCCATTTATCATTATGTTTATTGGTGTTATGGTGAAGATTTTGTCTTCTTTATATTAAGGTGTAATACATACTAAAGGCTACAGCCTTTGAGCTTCATGAATAAGTGCTTTAAGGATTCTTCATTCATTGTAAGCAAGCTTGTGTTATCTGCCTGATCTATGCTTGCTGATGAATTTTCCTTCAAAACGTTATGCTATTTTCTCTTCACATAGTCCAGTTTCTTGGATTTTTGCTCAGTATAAGTGTGGCAAGAGACGCAACCCTGATGTACACTTTCCCTGATTTTAAACTAGGAGTGTCCTGTACCTGTTTTGTTGTGTACCAGTGAGTTGGAACTGACCCACAACTGACCCTCCAGGTTGTTTTCAGAGGCAGTTAATTGCATGGGAGGAGATTTCCCATCCTTCTCTTGTCTGTACTTATCCTTTAAAAATTTTCTTTAAACATAATAATATGTCTGGGATAACTTTAATTTATAAGCATATTCCTTTGAACATATATATTCTACACTTGATCTTAGCCAAAAGGCCGAGAAGCAATGAACATATATATTCTATTTATTTTAAAGATGCATCATTATTTACTGAATTCCCAAAAGAAGTCCATTTTTTTGTCCCTACCTTAGGCAATGTTATAATGAACACTTGTATAACATATCTAAAACTTTGCATATTTGTATATTCTCATTATCTTTTTCTGGCTATGAGATTTATGGATTATTGAGAACACTGTGATAATGCCAAACTGTCTTCTAAAAATGTTACAACTAGTCACTCCCTCCCAGAGTGTAAAAGTATCTTACTCTTGTTGTATTTAATTACGAGTGAGGTTGTGCTTCATATAAATTTAATTAGTAGAGAAGTTTATATATTTTATAAAGTCTACCTATTAAATCTTCATTTTTTAAATACATTTTAAAAACCTGTTTATATCAAGTAAATTCAAACTCATACGGGACAGAATAGGTTTTCTAGAGCAGGGAAACTCAAAAGGTGTCCAAGGCTCTAAGTATTTATGGAAACAGATTGCTTCATCTTTCTCCTTTCCCAGTGTCTAGGGGTTAATATTGCTCATCTTTCAGTTGGAAGCTGAGCTCTTTAACCACAAAGTCACCAGGGCTTCATTTAGCCAATAGTGATAGTAAGTATAAATCTAACAGTTTCTAAAATATAATTTATATGCTTTAAAACATTTGTCTAAATTAGAACGGAAGCCAACTGTTTAAAAATATGCAAATTCTAAGTGAAATAGGATGTATTATTATAAATAGTACCTTCATCATAGTAAAAAAGTTTCATGGTCAAACAAACATCATTAGGCAGAGGTCCCAGGTTTTGCATTAGAATATACATTTTTCGAATGAGGAGAATACTTGCTTTCTTGATGTCAGAAGAAGACATGCTAGATTTGCTGTTTCTGTTTTTACTAGAAGTAAAATCACAATTTATTAAACCTGTGTATTCTAATATAATAAGTTCTTATTTTACTATTTGAGATTTTATTGCTATTATAGCATTATACAGTTAAATTGAAAATTAACACAAAAATGTTT